TCTTCTTCTTCTTCTTCTTCTTCTTCTTCTTCTTCTTCTTCTTCTTCTTCTTCTTCTTCTTCTTCTTCTTCTTCTTCTTCTTCTTCTTCCTCTTCCTCTTCCTCTTCCTCTTCTTCTTCTTTTGTTGTTGTTGCCAGGGATTGAACTCAGGACCCTACGCTTGCCAGGCAAGCACTTATATCACTGAGCTATATCCTCAACCCAGAAGCTTCTTTTTGAAGCTGTGTCACAGTGAGAACAGAGAACTTCCTGTTGGTTTTTCATATTAGTGGGCTTTTGATGTTGTTACTCATCCTGAGGAACCCCCTTCCATGTCCTGTGAAAGGAGATGGAGGAGAAAAGGTAAAAGGGATGTAGCCCACAGTTGAAGGTCCTCCTCCAGCCAGGATGGCTGGCCCCAGTGACACTGGTCCCCATCAGGAGTAGGAACAGGCACTGAGGCCAGGCTGCTGGGCACAGCAGGTGGCCAGCAGCCCAGGGCGGCCACAGCCTCCTGCGGTCCTCACACCAGCCACTGCTGCGGCAAGGGTCTTGCTGGACCCCGTGCATGGACTCCAAGGGTGCCCCTGCCTCCCAGCAGCTGTGAGAAGCAGCATCTGGAGAAGCAGCATTCCCCTAAACCACTGAAAAGGAGCAGGGGGAAAAAGTTTCCCTGCAAAACAGGAAGAGCAGGAAAGGACAAGTTTGTACAGAGCTTTGAGATGAAAGGGAACAGACGGGGACTTTGCCATTCTTCTCATCTGTTTCGCATTGTCTGGCAACAGAAGGACGGTTCATGGGGTGCAGGGCCCACAGGAGCCAGCGTCCCTGGATGTCATCAGTAACTGCCCAGCCAGGGCTCCCCCAGCCATGGCCTGGCCCCCACCACTCCTGCTGGCCTTGCTGGGGACCTCCCGCATCCATAGCCAGACCACTACAGTGAGCTGGAGGGGAGTCGCCCCAGCTTGGACTCTTTAGGGACAGCTCTTTCTGTCGCTGTTTGCAACCTACTGTGTCCTGGACACAAGCAGAGAAGGCCAGGCTGCAGCAGATGTGAGAAGCAGCCAGCTCCGGACACTCGGAACCTCACCAGCAAAGCCAAGGCTTTAGCTCTGCACTGTGCTCCCGCTCCGGGCCCCTCTCCTCTTGCAGCAGGTTCCCTCCGGGAGCCTCCTCACAGCACTTGGAGCAAAGCCTAAACTCTCCCAGCTACAAGGTTCTGCGCATGGGGCCCTGCCTCCCTCGCTCAGCCCAGTCTTCCAGGCCAGACTGTCCAGAGGCTCAGCTACAACAAGCGTGTTTCCGCCCCAGGGCCTTTGCACTTGCCGCTCCTTCCATGTGGAGAGATCTTCCCTAGTCTCTGCAGCTGCCTCCTTTGTCTCTGATGCTTCTCATGTCAGCTATGGCCCCTCCAAAGGCCTTCCTGTGCCCTGGCATCTCACCCTGGCACCCCAGCCTCTTCACCACACAATCCGCTCATTCTCTGCACAGCCCACATCCGCCCTCGAAGCTGTCCCCTCGCTGTGTGTGTCCACTGTCAGCTGATCCTGTAAGAGTCTGAGCCTCTCGAGGGCTAGGACTTGGTCTTGTTCTCTGCTGTGTCCCTGGCACCTAGAATTGTGCACAACGCACTGTAGGAGTAAATATGAGTTGCCTAGGAATTGTGCTCTCTGGCTCAGTGGAGGTGACAAGTGACAAGAACCTTGCTATGTTCTTGGAACTCTGCAGAAACATAGTGCAAAGGAAGGCTGGCCGGATCCACCTGGGGGCTCAGAAGTGGCTCCTAACAGCTAGCGCTGTGTTTCAGATGATGCCCTTGGGTGGTCAGGGCTGGCTTTGAGGACCTTGTGAGAGCTGGAGAAAAAGAAAACAGCTTCAGGCAGCTAGGACACGCCAGGCCCTGAGGCAGGTAGCAGCAGAAGCTCCAGGGCAGCCGGAGAAGGCGTGCAGGCTGGGGATGTGGGTAGGGCTCCGTCTCCTCTAGAGACCCAGATGGGCTGCAGAGAGGCTTTTTCCCTGGTGGGGTCTTGGCACCTTCCTTACTGAAGCCTTAAACGCAGGAATGGCCGCATCTGAAACTGTGTTTCCCCACCATCCCTCTGCCAATGCTAGCAATGCCCAATTATGAGCATATTCAGGCATGTTTCCAACCGATTTCACTGCCCTCTTTCTAAAAATAGTCGGCCATGTTTTAGAAGTGCAGAATTTTATAGGCTGATGTTTCGGAAGGTAGACACATGTTTTGATTCCTTGCAACTTGTATCTGTCATCCGAGCGCCTGCCTTTGCTCTTTTGTCCCTAGTTTCCTAGGTCAGATTACATCACTGTGGGTCCCACAGCCTAGAGAGAAATGTTCAGCTCCAGCCTGGTCCTCTCCTCCTCTTCCCTGTGTGAATGGAAATCCAGTAGCCCCCCAGTGACATGGAAAAAAGACCGCCTTTGTTAGATTGTTTTGAGGACTAAGTAAGTTACTATCATATACCAAGCACTTAAAAGAATCCTGAGTCAAAATGAGTGCAGGCTGTTGATACTTTTCATTAATATAATTTCAATTTCTATAATGGGTCTAATATACCTTCAGTGGAAGAAACACCTACAAGTGTCTACCTTTTTTGGTGAGGAGGAGAGGTACCGGAAATTGAACTCAGGACCTTGTGCTTGCCAGGCAGGCACTGTGCCGCTGAGCTACCTCCCCGGCCTGGGAAGTATCTATCTTTTGTGTGTTCGTGTGTGTGTGTGCATTCCTTGGGCTCTCTCACACACACTTGCCCTATCACAAAGCTCCACTGTGCCTGTCCAGGTGCCACAAAAGCTGCCATATCAGGTGTTCTCCTCACGGCAACAGTACCAGATAGAAATGAGTATCTCTAGCTCACATGTGAAGAAAACTGGGGCTCCCAGAGCCTTAGGACAGGCTGGGCTGCATCTGGTCATCTCTCTACGCCCCTTAGTTCCTTGAGAGCATGAATCTCATCTTCACATTGTTTTTCTAGAGCCCACCACAGGGAGGGAGGAGGGAGAGATTCAGCCATAGTTTGCTGGGTCTGAATCACTGAATGTGTCATATGGCCAAAACTACTCACGAGAAATCCTGTCAATGTCCCACACATGCATCCAACAAACATTAACTGAGCACCTACTGTATCGAGGGTGCTAGCAATGGAGATAAAGTGGGAGCCAGTGGGCAAAGTCCCTGCCCTGTGGAGCTTGGCTTCTCATGGGGGAGTCAGGCATTAAACCAATGGTTAACATTAAACCTGGGTGCGATCCCAGGCAGAGGGCTAGGAAGAAAAACAGAGAGAGAGAGAGAGAGAGAGAGAGAGAGAGAGAGAGAGAGAGCCTTTATAAGGAAACTGGAGGAAACATTTCTGAAGAAGAGACATTTGAATGGACTGAGAGCTAAAGGAGCGAGCCACATAGTCATAAGGAGAAAAGGTGGGTCTTCCAGCAGGCGCAGCAGCACATGCCAGGGGCCTGGGGTAGGAACAAGCCTGGAGAGCTCAGCACCCACAAGCTTTATACACACGGTGCTGTCTCCACTTGCACAATGTTGGTTCTCTGCCCAGAGCCCCCTAAGAACCACTCTGCAAACCCAGCAGAAGCAGGGAGTGCTGGGAATTGGTGTCCTTCCCTACCACCCTCCCAGGTGTCCCTGAACAAGCATCCATTTGGTGGGAACAAATACTGAGGAGGAATGCAAGCTCCAGATCCCCTGCCAGACCCACCTCAGAGGGCCCGGACATGCCCTGGCAATGTCGCAGCAACGCAGAATGTCGTCTCCTACTTTTTAAACAATGGAGACAGGTGCCTAGAGCTGATGTCATGTTGGGTTGAACAAGAGTGTGATGCCACCCCCCCCACACCTAACCCATAGGACCTCAAACTGGGCACAGAGCTAAGTCCCATGTCCTGCACGTACCTGAAGGCACTACCTTTTGGCATTAAGAGGGCACAGGTTGCCAGTGGGACAGGAGGAGCTACAACAACTTTTGCTTTTCCGATTCTGCCGCTGTGCGAAGACTCAAGGGCCAGCTGACATTCAAAGCTGAACAATGCTATCCCCCCCCCCCGCCCTCAGCCCTCAGCCCTTCCTGGGCCCAAGTGCAGGCACAGCCATTCAGCAACCCCCACCCAGGTTGTGTGCCCCAGGGGTCACCACGCTCACTCCTTCCTAAGCACAGCCCACACTTACTGGGCACCTAAAAGCACTCACACTAATGACACAGGGGCATTAGCTAGCGCAAGGCATCAAAGTGAGGCCCCCAGAATTTTGCAAGTATCTGTCTTCACTTTCTCAATGCTGGGACAAAATATCTGATAGCCACTGCTTAAAGGAGAAGAGATTTATTTTGGCTCACAGTTCAGTCCAGAGTCCAAGGCAGAAAGGGGGAGGAAAGCTGCTCACATCACTGGGTCAGAAAGCAGAGCAAAAGGAGGCACAGAGAAGGGGGAGAAACCCTTCCAAGCCACACACCAAGGACCTGCCTCCTCCAGCGAGGCCCCACCTCCCCCAACAGATCACGCCTCCTCCAGCCAGGCTCCACCTCTTACCAGCACTTTCTGCTCTGGACCTTCTGAGCATTAATCCACTGATGAGTACAATCATCCTTTAAAAGCCAAACCTCTAAACACATGAGACTTTTAAGGGGCATTCTAGAAGATTTTTTTTTTTTTTCTTTTTGTGGAGCTGGGGATTGAACTCAGGCCCTTGCACTTACCAGGCAAGCACTTATTCAACTGAGCTATCTCCCTGGCCCCCTTAGGGGGCATTCTAGATCTAAACTATAACAATGCCACTCGGGGAAAAAAGCGTCTCTCAGCTTTAAACATAAGCTGTAGAGACTGGGCGTGGTGGTGCTTGCCTATAATTCCAGCTCTTGGGAGGCTGTAAACAGATGGATCACTATGAGTCCGATCTTATAGTGAGAACCTGAACACCCTGTAGACCCTTCCCTAAAAAATACAAAAAATGAAAAAAGAATAAATAAATAAACAAACAAACATGATCTCTGTCCTGGATAGGACCCACTTTTGTGGGTAACTTACTGTGATAGCCTTGAGTCCCCTTGTCCTTCTTCCTATGGAGTAGCAGGGTAGAGTCTGTTCCTCCTCTTGAACTCAGGCCGGCCTTATGGGTTAGTTTTCTAGTGCGAGGTAATAAGCCCACCAACTTAGAGGCTTGAAGCAAGACCTGTTCATTACTTCAGTGCCAGTAGGGCAGGAGTCTGGGGACAGCTTACGAGAGTCTTCTCAGGTTCCCCAGGTTTCAAGCAAAGTGTCAGCCAGGATGTATTCTCCTCTGAAAGCTCAGGCCCTGCTCCAAGTGTGTACGTTGCTGATGAATTAAGACCTTGGCGTTGTAGGGTAGGCTCCTGCAAGGCCTGCCATTGTTGCCACGCGGTCTTCACAGCAGGGCTGTTGACCTCTTCAAGGCTGGTAAGCGAGCAGTTCTGCTGCTCTGAATCTCTCACCTGGAAAAATACCTAGCCCCTCTCCAAAAGCTCCTCTAACTAGGGTAGACCAAGGTGAATGCCTTTTTGAGCAATTCACAGACAACCAACAAGGACTCTTAATTCTGTCCACAAAGCCACGTTATACTCCTATCTCAGCTAAGCATGGAGGTAAAATCCTAGCACCTTCCTAACCTTCACCCACCCTGGAGGGAGGGGATCACACAGACCAGACAAGGCCGAGGAACCCTGGGAACCTTGAATTCATTCACCTCCCCATACGTCATGACTTGCTTGGCCAATAGGATGTGTTGGGAGCTGTGCCCCATAACTTCAAAAGCCGGACCTTAGGAGACCTTGTGATGTTTCCACCTTGTGTAGCTCTGAGCTGCACTATGAAATGACAAGAGGGTCAGCCAGCAGCCAGCCCTAAGACCCCAGACACAGATCAACATTTGACCTTATCTCTGATATGGCTGCCTAAGTGACCCTCAACAAACAGGAAAGAGAAGTGGTCTGCTGAGCGCAGCCTACCCAGTGATCAGGAGAGACAATAAATCCTTGGGTTTTAAACAGCTGCATTCTGTGCTTCCTGCCACACTCTTGCTCCCTAGCAAACGCTGACTGGGTTGCCTCTCTGGGCGGATCAATGTTTCCCTCATCGTGTTGGACCCCATGTGAGAGCTACAGGTGGGTGGAGGTGAAGAGGACTTTGTTACATATAGAGATGACCTCTAGGGGTTCCAAGTCATGGGATGGGCTTCCGGGGGAGCCATAAACCACTCAAAACCTTCCAGTGAACTGGGATTTAATAAGAGTCATTGATTGAAAAATGTAAACTATAAAAAGTCACCAGTCCACCCCACCATGTTGAAGCTGGGAAGGGAAGACTAAGGAAGGGAAAAAGGAATTTCACAATGTCACCCCACTGCCAAAAGAGAAGGGACAAAACCCCTCACATCCACAGCCCCTGTCATCTTATCTTGAGACTCAGCTGAGTCCCTGCAGGCTCCATTACCTGGGACAAAGTCCGAGCTCAACCAGCACTGAAGGTCCTGCCCATCTTTCAGTGCCGTCCCTTGCTATGTCCCTCAACCCAAGCCTCAGCAAGTGACTTGTTAATCCCCAAAGCACGGACGCATTGGAGCTTCGAGGCACTGACCTACACTGCCCCTCTCCCCCAGATGCCCTTCAGCTCTTTGGGGACAGGCAAATGCCAGACCCGAACCCAAGAAGGCCTCCTGGCCTCTGCTCCCCAGGCTTGTGCATCCTGAATAATTCCCTCAAAATGCCCACAACCTAATCTCTAGAACCTGCAAATATGACTCAGCATGTATCATATGTACTACCTACAGAAAGGGATTCTGCAGGTGTAATTGTGTTAGGAGTGTGGTACAGGGGAGATCATCTTCAGTGAACTCGGGAGACCCACTGTCTTCTCCAGGTCAGTGGAAGGCGAGGTGGTGGTGGAAGCCCAGGTCATAGGGTCGTAGCCAGGCACCAGGGAACAGCAGCAGCTTCTAGAAGCTGCACAAAGCAAGAGCAGACTTTCCTAGAGCCTCAAAAAGAAACCAGATGGACAGTAGCTCAGCTCAGCTCAGTGACGCTGACTTGGGCCCTGTAACTACCATAAGATAATAAACTGAGTCTTCTCGAGCCACTAAGTTTGTGGACGTTTGTTACAGCAGCAAGAGGAAACTTCCACACCGTCCTGGTACCAGTCGTAGGGTGCAGCAGAGCCCTTGCTCACCAGAGAGAGTTCTCTCCCACTCCGTCCCCTCTCAGGCTCTTTCCCCTCTCCCCTCCTTCTCCCCTTCACCTCCTCCTGCACCCCTCCTCCCAGCCTTGGGGCTTCTTTGCTGCCTGATGGCCTAACCCAAAAGTGGATTAATGCACACACAATTCCTTTTGTTGCCTTCTCTCCCTGTCTACACACACACACACACACACACACACACACACACACACACACACCCTCATCCGCACAACACGTCTGTCCTCCTCCAGGAGGGCAGCTCTGCTCTGCTACCAAGCTAACCTCAACTCCCCAGCTAATAGCTATTTCTCAGAAATTTTAAAGGGGTGTCTGTCAAGATCACATGTACTTGGACACATCTGCAGGGACACAGAACTGAAACTTGATGTAGTTAATTTAAAATTGCAAGAGTGGGCGTTGTACCAGGTGATGGTGCAGACCTGGAATCCCAGCACTTGGGAGGCTGAGGCAGGAGGACTGCAGTGACTTTGAGGTCTGGGCTGTAAGACCTCAAGGCTAGCTCAAGGCCAGCCTGTACTACATAGTGAGACCCTGTCTCCCCCCAAAACAAATGGGTGCGCAGCCCAAAAATGTAAAAATCCATTCTTCTGCATAAACAAGTGATGGACAAAAAGAATCCTAGTCCTTATACATTCAGTCCCAATCCTGTGTGCCCCATCACAACCTTCCAAGGTCACAGAAATTTGGTGAAATCTGGGGTCAATGATGCCCGTACTGGAAGATGCCCAATGCCTATCATTAGGGTGCAGAGAGGATTTCAAGACAGTGTGGCTAGTATGATTCTATTTTGTTTTCAAAATTAACTATATGTGCTCTGCACACATACCATGCATATATGTGTGCATGTTCACACATAGGTGTATGTATATAGATGTTGAGCAGGGACTAGAAGATTCTAGAAGGTGTTAACAAAGGTTTCATGGAGGTTTTGGACAGTAGAGCTTTTGTGGTTTGGTTTCCTTTTCTTTGGGTTTTTGAGACAGGCGCCCCATAAGAGGTCCAGGATGACCTCAAGTGTATTGTGTAGCCCAGGCGAGGTGATCAGCCTGCTTCGGTGCTGTTTTTGTTTTTCTTACAATGTTTTTTAAAGATTTGTTTTGCAAAGAACAAGACTGGTAGCATAACAGAAAATAAAGTTTAAATTATTTTCAAATCAAAGGCCCGGAAGGGTTCCCGTGGCAAGGCAGCTCGGCCCTAGCAGCTCCTCCCAGGTCTGCCCAGCGCAATGGCGGAGCCATCAGAAGAGCGCGCGAGCCGCGGCTGCCGACCAGAGACGTGGCAAGGGGCCTGAGAACCAGAACACACACACATGACCACGAGGGAGTTTCTGCCGAGTGACCCACGGATGACCCGCTTGGACCCAGTCTGGGTGCGGGGCGTTGTCGTGTCCGCGGCCTCTCCCACAACCCTCGCTGCTGAAGGGTCCTGCACTCGGTGGCTGCGGTGGCTGGGCCCCTGGAGGCGAGGCAGGTGCCGCCGGGACCGCGGCCAGAGCCGGGACGCCCAGGCTCACCTCGGCCTCCCTGGCCAGATTCACTGCACCCACCCCCTTTCCTGCGGTGGCGTTTTTGTTTTAATTCATCTGAACTGGTTACAAAACCATACTCCCACGAATACATAAATAATGGATAAGGGTGTGTGGGGGGTGATGTCTTAAAGAAATTCCCGCAAGGCCTGGCAAGGCAACAGCAAATGCGTTTCTGCTGTATCATATTTAACTGTTTGCAAACTTCCACTGGAGGATGCGCAAGACCGCAGGCTCGGGCTCCATCGCACTTCCTCGTCTGGGCCTGGCAAGACTTGCATGGAGGTTACAAGGAGGGGAGACGGTGGCAACGACAGGGGAGCAGATGATGGGGAGCAGTGTAAGACTGCACTGCGCCTCATCCGGTCTGGCGCAAGCCAATCCTCGGTCCACGCGTCTCCAGTCCTGGTCTCCACTACCAAGCAAGGCCCCTTTAAGAGCCAGTGCGCGCCCCGCCCAGTCAGCGCTCACTTTCCCTAGCAACCGCCCCGGGGGAGGAGGAGGTCCTGGCAACGGTGCGCTGTCCGGGCTGGTCACGTGACGGCCGCCGCTGGAACGCGAGCGCGCGCCCCGCCGGGGCCTGTGCGCTGCGCGCGTGCGCGAGCGGTACAGCACCAGCCGCGGGAGCAAGGAGTATTATGGGCTGTGGGTGCCGCTGAGCAAGATGGAGCTGTCTGCAGTGGGCGAGCGGGTCTTCGCGGCCGAATCCATCATCAAGCGGCGGATCCGCAAGGTGAGCCTCCGCCTGGGGCTGTTGTCAGGTCCGCAGGACCTTGGGGAGAGGCGGTCCCGCTAGCCGGTTCCCTCGACAGCCCCGGTGCCGCCGCCAGCGAGCGCCCCGCATCTTCCCCGCCCCCACCCCCTTTTTCCTTTCTGTTTTTCAGGGACGTATCGAGTACCTGGTGAAATGGAAAGGGTGGGCGATCAAGTGAGTGTCGCGGGGCGCAGGGCCGTGGGGGAGGGGCGGCAGCGGCCCCGGGCCGTGGGGCGGGGGCGCGCGTGGGCTCCCGGGTTTTTACGTGGTTTTGTGCATGCGTGGCCCTGCAGGTACAGCACTTGGGAGCCCGAGGAGAACATCCTGGACTCGCGGCTCATCGCCGCCTTCGAGCAGAAGTGAGTCGGGCCAGCTGGCAGGGCGCGGGAGCCCGGAGGGCCGTGCGGGCCGGGGCCGGGAAGGGGCTCCCTCTAACCTCTGGTGTTTCTCGGCCGCAGGGAGAGGGAGCGTGAGTTGTATGGACCCAAGAAGAGGGGACCCAAACCCAAAACTTTCCTCCTGAAGGTAACCTGGCGCGGCACCAGCAGCCCCCTCTCGGGCCCCCAGCCCTGCGCAGCGCGGGGCCTGGAAGGGAGGGACAGCTCCCGGCCGCCAGGCGGGCGGGCTTTCAGGGGCCCCACTGGGCAGGGGGTGGTAAGGAGCCCCCGGGCAGCCCCCGGCATCAGGCCGCGTCAGACTCAGCACCCCGGCCTGGCAGTGGGTATAATCCTGTGGAGAAAGCCAGGCTTCGGAGGGCGCGGGGCTCCGGGACGGAGTGGGGAGGCTTGGGGAGGATGCCCACAGGAGCGGGTGGCAGGGGGCTGTTTTTACCCGGAGCTCCCTAGCCTGCCCCGGCCTCAAGCGCTGGGGCTGTGCCGAGCGTGAGGAGCGCGCTGGGAGAGGCGCTCGGGAGATCACCTGCTCCTAACCCCGGCTTCCTGCTTGCCTGTCTCGGGGTTTAGCCTGCACCCCTCTCTCCCTCACCCCGGGCTCAGTTTAATTTAGACTTTAAATCACTGCAACCTGAGTTCATCAGTCAGCCTTGGCTGCAGACTCCAGGACCCTGAGCCTCAGTTTCTCCCCAGTCCTCGTCGGACTCGGAGGTTTAGTGAGGATGGGGTAGAGAAGGTGCAGCTCGTTTACATTGGCAGGGGAGGGGAGAACTCCAGAGGAAGCCATCTTAGGCTCTTGGGGACGTTAGTGGGAATTACAGCGTCTGGGAAAAGCAGAACAAGATGACAGACAAGGCCGAAGGTGGGACTCACTGGGCCATCTCAGCCTCTCTGTAGGGCAGAAGGTGTGGCCAGGCCCTCCCCACCCAGCAGCTGGCGATTCTGTGTTTATTCCCCACCCAATCGGGAGGGCTTTCTTGGGAGAAGACACTGCAGCATGCAGAATCTTTAAATCTCCAGTTTTTCCAAAATGCTGAAAGTCCATCCAGGGTGTAGGGTGGGCCTGTCCTGCCGGCTGTGCCTCCTCCCCCAGCCATAGAACCATTTGTGTAGGGTTTGCTTTGGACTTAATGCAGAAGTGGAAAAAATGTTGCTTTCCAGAATTCCATATTTCTGCATCCCCCGCCCCCAGCCACTGCACATTTTAGGGGATCCGCGGAGCTACCTTAACTCTGTTGCTTCGAGGCAGGAGGGATGGGGCGGAGCAGCTGGAAGGCTGTGACAGCCTCTTAGCGCATCTGGAGTGCCCTCTAGCGGCAATGCGAGCGATATTCAGGAGCCTAAAATCACAAAACACCTTTGATACTTCATTCCTGAGGTGATTTAAGGGTCCATTACAGTACTGAGCCCGCTGCATGGATCCTTTAATTCTCAAAACTTCTCCTTTGAAGTGAGGAGTGTTAGCCTGTTTCACAGATGAAACAATTGAGGCCCAGCGACATGTGGTAATGCACACCTGTAACCCCAGCACTTGAGAGGCTGAGGCATGAGGATTCCTGTGAGTTTGAGGCTACCTAAATAATGAGACCCTATCTTGAAAAAGGAGAAAGGAAGAAAATCAAGGCCCACAGAGATGTCATAATTTCCCCAAGGCCCTGCCACCCAGCTTCCAGGCTTCATCTTTTTCTAACCCTTGGTCTCAAGGAGCACATGTCAAGTTAAGGGGCAAAGGTGAGGACACAGGCAAGGAATGTGGAGAGGGAGGGGCAAGGGGCTTGGAGGCTGCAGGAGCAGCAGTACCTTGATCTAGACCTTGAAAAACAGGTAGTTGGTATTTGCAAGGGATGGAGGAGACAGCTTGGGCTGAACCGTTGTCACCACCGTTGGAAAGTGTGACGGTGTCGGCAGGTTACACCCAGGCAGTGCTTTCTCTGGGAACCAGAGAGAGTGTAGGAGCCTGTAAGATCAATCCCATCATTCCCGTTCCACAGGGGGAAAGGCCAGAGAGGTTCAGTAACTTGCCAGTGGTCACAGTCACTGACCCTTCAAGTTGTGTGCAGTGCACAGCTGTTCTCGCGGCCCTGCCTGTCACCCAGGCAGGGTGCTGCAATGAACACATTAACTGCGATTCTCTTTAACTCACCAGACAAATCCAGGTCCTGCTTTCCGTGAATTCTCAAACCCAGGAAGAAGGGTGGCTCTTGCGTATTATAAAAATGATAGTGAGAAATCATAAAAAGAAGCAATATTTCTCGTAGCAAGTTTGGAAAGGACACACTGGAAAGGGAGAGTTCTCATAGGCCCAGCCCCTGGCACTCACCAGGTGTGAACTGAGTATTTGATCTCCAGGCAGGTGCCAAGCAGGTGCCACCTGCCATCGGATTGTCATAGATGTGCTGTGGGAGGTTCTGCTATGAGTGCAGTGAGGGAAAGTGAGGTCCAGGGGGTCATCCTGTATCTCCGTTTGTCTACATTCTGCCATCCCTAGGGACCATCTGTCACCACTGGATGCTTGTGGAACCTAGTTAGAGACAGTGCAGAGGGAGTAACACCAACCCCGCGGATCAGAAAGAAGGGATCCCCCAAGTGCCCCTGGAAATGTACCTTCAATAAGACCCTGCCTGCCAAACCTCAGCTTTCCCCTGCCTTTGTCTAGGAAGCAAAGTGAGGGGCTCAGCCCTGAGGGAGCAGTAGGAACCCTGGGCCCCGCCCCTGTGTGCTGCCACCTGGTGGCCAGAGAATTGTAACCCAAGGAGCCCCAGGTGGCGCCAGGCTGGGCCTAGAGACTGGCATTAAAATGTTTTGCCTGAGGGAGTGAGGTCCATATTCTAAAAGAGTGTCCCCACTGGGTCGGGAAGTCAGCAAACATGGTTTTGGATTGTCAGATGTGGCCTAGCTTCGTCAGAGAGTCTGCATGCTGTCCCCCAGATACCTGTTAAGTACCTAGCTCTGTGACTCCCCTGCAAACCATGTCAGGATACTCACAGACTGTGGGAATGTGTCTTTCCTCGGTCCCCCAATCTAAATCAAAGCTGTCACCCCCTACCTAGAGCGAGGGCATCCGTAAACCTGAGTCCCCAGCAATGGCCTCAGCCCTCTTGCTGGCTCTGTCCTCATATCCATGAGGCTTGGTCCATGGGCTTCCTCCCTCTGCCTCCACCTCATGTGCCTTCACAGGCCTCGGGAACTGCCAGAATGCCATCTATCTAGGCCTTGGCCCACATTGGCATCTCACCCTCGCCTGGAGTCTGTGCCCTGGCTGTGCCTCCTATTGTACCAAGACATTCTGCATTCTCCACGAGAGACCACAGCTCCTTGTGGGAGGCTATGTCTAAGCAGAGGACAGCTTATTTGACCCTGATGTTCTCTCTCCATATGGGGACCTCTGACACAGCATGTTGGGATCTAGCATCTTTTGAGGGTCCTGCCATACCCAGGGTCGCCCATGAGGAAGCAGGTGAGCTGTGCAGAGCCCTGGGAGTCCCTAGCCCAGGAAAACCTGGGACCATTGGCCAGGCTGCCCACTGCCGTCCAGGCATAGAGATGAGGAGTGGTTGCCCACTCACAGGCCAGCTTGGGTTCCAGCTCAGGCTTTGGAATCTATTTGCCACCACTCTTCGTGAGCCAGGTCCAGGCCACAGGTGACACAGATCCAGGAGGGCACACACAGGTGCTGGGAGCCTGGAGAGGAGGCTGAGGATCACTGAGAGTCAGGTTGGAGCTGGAAGTCAGCCAAGACACAGGCAGAGAGATGGCATCGGGGACAGGCAGGGCTGGGACCCACCCTCTTCTGTCACCAAGAATAAAAATAGAATTGGTTCCTAGAGGTGCCCCAGGCTGGCCTGAGTTCCTTACCAGAGGAGCTGAGTGAGGGCTGCTCCAGGATGTCGAGGCTTGATGGCTGACCCTGGGCAGGCCCAGGGCCAGTAGGGTTGTGTCCCCAGGGCTCACAGTTCTCTGGCTGTGGTAGAAAAGGACAGCCTTGGACTTGGGCCCAGCCCCACCCTAGGCACGTTTTTGCATCACGTTTTTTGCTGGTTTCCTCTTTTAAGTTGGGGTCATCGGTACTGCTGTCGGCTTCCTGGATCTTAAAGAGAGCCCTAGGGCAGGGTAAGGGGGAGCAGGAAGCCCTGAGTCCCACCCACGCCCCTCTGCCCGCAGGCCCGGGCCCAGGCAGAGGCCCTCCGCATCAGTGATGTGCATTTCTCTGTCAAGCCAAGCGCCAGCGCCTCCTCGCCCAAGCTGCACTCCAGCGCCGCCGTGCACAGGCTCAAGAAAGACATCCGCCGCTGCCACCGCATGTCCCGCCGCCCCCTGCCTCGTCCGGACCCCCAGGGAGGCAGTCCCGGCCTTCGCCCGCCCATCTCGCCCTTCTCCGAGACGGTTCGCATCATCAATCGCAAGGTGAAGCCTCGGGAGCCCAAGCGGAACCGCATCATCCTCAACCTGAAGGTGATAGACAAGGGCGCGGGGGCGGGGGGCACCGGGCAGGGCGCGGGGGCGCTCGCCCGCCCCAAGGTCCCCTCGCGGAACCGCGTCATTGGCAAGAGCAAGAAATTCAGCGAGAGCATCCTGCGCACGCAGATCCGCCACATGAAGTTCGGCCCCTTTGCGCTCTACAAGCCCCCGCCTGCCCCGCTGTCGCCCCCACCCGCCGGCAAGGCTGACCTTGCTGCTTCCGCGAGCTCCGGGATGCTCCTGGCCAAGCCCGCAGCCACCTACGACGCCCATAGCTCCAGCTCCTCGGGCTGCCCCTCCCCCACACCGCAGTCCTCTGACCCCGACGACACGCCCCCCAAGCTGCTCCCGGAGACCACGAGCCCCTCCGCCCCTGAGTGGCGCGAGCCCGAGGTGCTCGACCTGTCCATCCCTCCCGAATCCGCAGCCACCAGCAAGCGGGCGCTGCCCGAGGTCACCCCTACTGCCGGCCAGGCACTTCCCACGGCCCCGGAGCCCACCAGTGCCTCTTCTGAGCCCGAGGCAGGGGACTGGCGCCCAGAGATGTCCCCTTGCTCCAATGTGGTCGTCACCGATGTCACCAGCAACCTCCTGACGGTCACTATCAAGGAATTCTGCAACCCTGAGGATTTTGAGAAGGTGGCTGCTGGGGTAGCAGGTGCTGTAGGGGGCATGGGTAGCAGCGGGCTGAGCAAGTGAGAGGCTCCCACAGGAGGGGGTTGTGGGGGGCCTCCTGTCTGAAGTCCACTTGTGCTCCCACCCTGCCTCTGCGCTTAGACCTGCCTGCCTGTGCTTTGCTTGCCTCAAATGGCTTGGTGCTGACCCAGGGATGGGATGGGCAGTTGGCCCCCGAGAAGGCCAGGAGGCGGGACGGTCCTGGACTGGGTTAGGGCTGGGCACTGAGAAAGGCTCTCTCCTGTGACTTGGCAACGTCCCTGCCCATGCACAGTGGGGCTTGCTGCGTGCTTTCTGGGGAGCCCCGGACTTGGGGTTCACCTGGCCCATCCACATCCCACCCCATCGTCTCTCCTAGCTTGCTTCTTGCTCTCGTGTACAGCGTCTGATCTCGGTGCTAACCTGGCAGCTGAGGGGCCCTTAGGAGACACCACCTAGGGTGGGCACAGCCCCTTTCCTCCTGCCCATCTGGCATAGCCCCAGAGGGAAGGATGAGGCCAGGTGGACACCCCTGCACACCGGTGAGCTTAGCAGCCACTTCTGGACCAGGCCTATGCAGGCCCCTGGTGCCCACCCCTGCCTTTCTGAACCCAGAAAGCGCCCTGCCACCACCTATGGGCATTTAAAGGGCCCTGCAGTTCTGGACCAAAGGTGCTGCGGGCACCTGCAGTAGAGATGCCAGCTGTGCGTGTGTGTCTGCACTGGGCAAGTGTGTATGTGGGTCTGTGTGTGCACTGGGTGTTGGGTGCCAGCCTTTTCTGGTGGCACCTTTACACCTCCTCGGAACAGGGTCCTAAAGGCCTGGCCCAGGCATACCTTGGCAGGGCTGGGTCTGGGCAGTTTGCTGTGGGAACTCCAGGGAGCCCTGGGTCTCCAGTGAGCCCTCGCCCTTCTCTGGAGGTGGTCAGCCTGGCTAGTTGGGCCTGATCTACAGTCCTGGCATGGTGGGGATTGTGGCAGAGCTGGAGTCCACAGCAGCCTCCCTCCACCCAGTGGTCAAGGAGGAAGGAGGAGACCTCGGAGATTTCCCAGATGCCCCTGGACTTCTCCCATCCCTCCTAGGCTTCTGCCTGCCAAGGCTTTCTCACAGCCCAGCCTGCTCGAAGCCACGGGAGGCCGGGGTGCCCAGGCAGATTCCTTTGTCCTGTGCTGCCTGAGCACCAAGGCCTCCATGCCAGCAGCAGTGACCAAAGCCCCACTTTTAGGTCGGACACTGGGAGTAGGCCAACCAAAGGGAGAAACCATGTGTTCAGAATAGCAAGGGGATCGATCGGCCACTGGGGAGGGTGGAGAGCTGACCTACTCTTGACCACTGCTTGGGACCAAGTTAGGTGTGGGTGGCACGTTCCTGCGTGCGGCTGGAGCTGGTTTCCGGGTGTGTGCAGCTGTGGGCACCTCATTCAGAAGCAGGATGGCAAGAGGCAAGTGAGAAGGGGACCGATCAGATGACCAGCACCTTGGTCCTTAGAGGAGGACACTTTCTTCTGCACCTCCCTGCCAGGGCTGCAGCGTAGCCTCACCCTCTCCACTGCAGGGTATAGAATAGGGGCCCTCTCAGGGTGGAGGGGTGGCATTCCTGGGTCCCCCCTTCCCCACCCTTTGTGTAGGCCCTGTGACTGTCCAAGTGCCAACTGGCTTTTCCCCCAAATAAGGGCTGGTATTTCTCCTCTGTCCTTAGAGGCGATTTCCCCCAACCCCCTTCCCAGGTGCTGTTCACCTGGGTGTCAGTTACAGGTGTTTCCAGAGACCATAGAAATGTGTTTTCCTGAGAGTCTGTGTCATTGGTGACTTTTTTTGTAAAGAAGTTGTGTTTTCAGAGGTGATTTTATGACAGGAAAGTGAAAGAATTAGTTTTGCAAAAAAAAAAAAAAAAAAAAGGGGGGGGGACAAAAAAAAAAGGAATAAAGAAAAAACGATTGTGGGATTCCGAAGGGAGCAGGGCGGGGGGAGAAGGCTATTTAAAGAGAACCTAGTAGCGTAGCATTGCACAGCTGGGGGGCGAGGTGTGGGCAGGCAGGGCCTGGCAGGGCTGCCGGCAGTGTGGACCCAGCCTCTCCTCTTTAGCCCCAGGTGGTTGAGACTTTCGTGCGGACCTGGGCCCAGACTTCCACACCCGTCCTTGTCCTTGGTTGAAGGGAAGGGTGACAGCCTGACCCAAGGGGGCTGACCTGAGGCTGGGGTGCCAGGCAGACAGAGGCCGAGGGCTCGGGGATGAGGGGGTCCGCAGGGTCCTCCCTGGCCTGTGGTTGGTGATTTTCTCCAGGAAGGCTGGTGAGTAGGCAGTTTGGTTTCTTACTGTCCTCCCTTTGCCAGCTTGCTGGCCCTTCTGGTCCCTACCACTGCCACCCCATAGGAGGGCAGCTCCCCCATCACCGCAAAGACTCTGACTTCCCAGAGCTTCCCTGACCAAGAGAGGGATGCAGGCTGCCAAGAGCGGTGGGCCCTGGGAGGCTGCCAGGCATGGGGAGAAGATGCTGCCACCCCACAGCAGCACCCAGGGCACATGTTGCCTGGAGGTGCCTGCACCGTGCGGGCCTGGGTGGGCTCCAGATCCACAGCAAGACAGGCCCCCACCTGTCTCCCAGGAGACGCAACACAGGCCCTTGGCCACATGCTTGCACAGGATCAGCCTCCTGCGGGGGTCCCTCAACCCCTTGCTGCTTTTCCATTTGCCTAATTACCAAGCAGAAGTTGCAATCTGGTTTGCTTTATTTTTGTATGTGAAATAACCCCCAGGCCCCAACCTCCCGCATCCAGTATTTTGTGGGCATTGGTTATCTCTTAGGTGCACCACCCTCCCAACCACACATCCTAGGAAACAGGTGCAGTCAAGTGTCTCTGGGTTGAGTAGGAAAGTAGGGACCAGGCCCTGTCTCAGACCTTGGTCCGTCCTTCCACAAAGCAGGTGTTAAGCGCAGCAAGCCCTTGGCTGAAGCACTGCTGTGTTAAGGACCAGGTTGCTCCAGGCTGCTGGCCCCAGGACTTGAGGCACTCACAGACCCCTTTATTTTCAACCCTGGAAAGGGGTTAAGGTCACAATGAACCTCTTCCTCGCTGTGATTGGGAAGAGGTGACCATCGCTGGAGTCCCCATTCTCTGGGGGAGGTGGGTAGAGTGGGAGAGGTGGCTCCATTTGAGAGGCAGCTAAGCCTATAGCCCACACTGCCCTGGCCTTTGGGGAAGAGCCCTTTAAAAGGTGCAGCCACCCCAGGCCAGTACAAGGCAATGGCAGGCTATAGCGGGAGGGTCAGCCCAGAGGAGGTAGCGCAGTCTGTTCCAGGGGCCTGGGGTGCATCCTGTCTGGGCACTCAAGAATTTGCCTGCTTTTCTTCCCTCTTCTGTGGTTTGGTTTTTGGGGTGTTTTTTGTTTGTTGGGGTTTTTTTTTTTTTGTTTTTTTTTCTCTTTTTGCACTTCGCCCACGCTGGACAGTGGAGCCCTCCTGGTCAGTTCCGCTCCCGGGCTTCCATGCACTAGCCCAAGGCAGCCTCTCTGGGGTTTGTATGGTTTGAGGAATCACTTTTTAAAAGAAAAAAAGTTTAAGGGAGTTTTGCTTTGTTTGCTGTGTTTGCATCTCCACTCAATTCAGAAAGTCCAGGATGCGGGGCTAGAGCCCCAGGAGAGGGCGCTCTGGCCCCTTTCCTGCTAACACCGCGATGCGGAAGTCTAGAGCTGGTTGGGTAGGGGTCCTAGACCCCACCTCCCAGCCTGCGCATCCCCTCAAACCTTGAAGGAGTCAGCCCTCCGCCCACCAGTGAGTGAGCGCCTACTGTATGCAGAGCATCAGCTAGGCTGTGGGGGCTGATGGTCCAGTGGGGGGACCCGCTCCTTAGGGGCCAGGTGGGAGGCACACGCGTCCGCCCGCCCTTGCTTGCTGTTGGGTGCAGGGGAGATGGAGACGACTTTTGTTGGTTTTAATTTAAAAACACAAAGGCCTGAAGAAATAATGTATCTTATAATTTTTTTAATTTTTGAGAAGCTCATTTAATGAATTGTGCACGAATGAATTCTATATATATAAAAATATACGTATATAGCTCTATATTTGGGAAGGGGCACTGTCTCTTTTTCTCGCGCGCATTTTTAAGATGAAGTGTTGTTGCCTTTGTCTGTGGTTCAACCATCCAGCTCCCAGCTGGCTAAACTTTGCCTCCAGTGGTAAAAGATGGGAATGTAGTGGGGTGGCAGAAGGGAAGTGGGGATGGGTCCCCCAGTCCACCCTGCCCCTCCCAGGTGGAGACCGAGGGTTTATTTTGGGTGTGGGTTCGGTTCTCTTGTTTCGTTTCAGTGAATTCTTGGCCAGGGGAGGGCAGGTTTGTGCTGATTACTCTGTCTTGTACGTTTTGTTCTGCTGCTCTTCAATATTGTATGCCAGGAAAGGGGAGTGAAAAGCCTTTTACCCCCCAAATAAATTGTCACATTCCAAAACTACAGTTCAGACCCCAGAGTGGGGTGTGTCTGCCTCATTTCTTCTGCTGTGACTGATCATTAAAAAGTGTCCGGCTCACTGGACCTCCCTTGCCACAAGTGGCAAACCAGCCCCATGTCCCTTCCAAACCCTCTGGCGGGATTTCCTGAGCCAGGGGGACAGGACATGAGAGTGGGTAAAACAGGGACTGCCACTTTCTGCAGCCTTGAGACTCACTAGTAGGCCACGTGTGGCAAGTAGGAGGGAGGCTAAGGCCTCCCTGTGGTTGGAATCACAGCACCCTCAGAGAAGAGGGGCATTGGGGTTGTCACAGGCCAGGAGGGGGCAGAGAGTTGCCAGTGGTACCTCCTTTGGTGTCATGTGTTCCCCTCACAAGCAGCTCTCCACAGCTCTGAAGAAGAGCCCTTCACCTTTATCCCAAGTGCTCCGTGCTCTCCTTGGTGACGTGAAGAGCGTTGTCCCCACCTGCAGCAGTACCTAGGCCTTCTTGCTCTACATTGCCCACACTTGCCTGCTGGTGTGGCGCTTCAGCACCTGCCTCCCCTTGGAGTTCTGCTTCCTCCCAGAAAGCCCTCATTGAGTACTTACTTTCTGGCTGTGCAGATAGGTCAGTGGCATAAGCTCCTGTCTGGCAAGTGCAGGGTCCCAAATTTGATCCCCAGTACTGCAACAACAACAACAACAACAAAAGGAAGATGGCCCACTTACTTTCTAAAAACCCTAAATTTCCAGTGTACCTGCTACACACCCGGTGCTGAGAGCCACAGTCACTTGGCCCATGTCCCTAGCTGTGCAGGAGGAGGCCAAGGTGGAGCAAGGTGCTAGTTCATCTGCTGCTCCCTGGCTACCATGTCACCTTGGCCCATCTACTTGTCCTAACCCTGTGCTTTCAGGAATCCAGAGCACGGCTCCCTCACAAGGCAGGTGCACCCTGAAATCGGTCATGGCTCTCTTACTGTAAGTCCTGTCCCTACTAAGCTGCCAGCAAGGTCTGCTTAATGGGTGAGGGTCAATGAGCATGACCATGGCAACTCTTGGAGAAGCAGAGGCTTTGTGATGAGGACGAGCACAGGCTGAAAGCACGAAGGGCTTAGCATACCCCATCCCATTGGAGAGGAGGCAGGCTGGGGCCAAGGGGTCTGGGTGAGAACAGCGCCCCCAACCCCGTGCTGGGAGCCAAACCCCAGCAAGAACCCAGGTAAGTGCTCTCCTGAGCTACATCCTTGGCCTCAGAACCACTGTTTTGCAAAACTACTTGGTCATTTTTTTGCAAGTGAAACTTTAATGGTTTTTTGGTCTTTGTCAAGCTGTGCCTGGAGTGAAAGGGGAGTCAGAGACACCATCAAAATGTCAAGCCCCCTCCCGGGCCAGAGAGGAGCCTGTGGACTGAGTCTATGCCCTCTTTGTTCCAGCTGCTGGCTTCTGAGAGAAGACATTTCAAAAGACTGTGCAGCCCACAGAGGCCGGGCGCCAGGACACCTGGCCCACAGCAGTGGGTAGCAAAGGAAGTGACAGCAGTGGCCTGGCCTCCATCCTCCATGTGCTCTGAGCGTCTTCGCAGGAAGCTGTGAGCTTAGGACAGTCCTGGGGGATCAGAGGCCATTGGGCATGATTAGAAATGATCCTCACAAAGGATAATGAGGCACAGAGCCCAGCTAAGCAGCAAGCATAGTGGGTGTGGCCAGTGCCCAGGGATGTTTGAAATATTTGGGATTTAGCAACCAATTGCTTTTACAGTTTTCTAGAAAGACCCTCTAGAAACATAGCTGGGTATTAGATGTAGACAAAGGAGCTGATTGAGATGCAGAAAGAGCAGGTATTGGCTTCTTTCTCAGGTAGGGAACTTGGCAAGGAGGTTGCTTCAGGAGAGGGTAAGTTTGATTTGGGACACCTTGGGAGTGAATCAAGCAGAGGGCCTACTGGGATTTCGCACATGGATTCAAGGCTGAGTGCAAGTTCCTGCCCATAGGCACTGCTGGCAAAAGCTGGTAGAGTGTCCCTGGCCATATCCCAGCTCTGGAAGGACAACTGGAGACTTGGGTTCCACTGGGAAATTTCAGGGCCCACTGCCAGCCCAGGCCTCCCACCCTACCTCCCCAATTTCATGGCTTTCATCTCAGTGTGCAGCTGGGTAAAATGAGGCACGTTGCTGGGCAGTAAGCAACCACCTTAGACAGGTGAGGATGCAGGGTCCAGGAGTTTTAGGAGGGGGTAGTTCCTCAAGGTCTGCAGATGGTGGAGTTGGATGGACTCTGTCATGCCTCACAGCATTAGAGACACTAGATAAAATGAGCATCCTTTTAAATACCTGAGTTGGGGCTGGGGAGATGGCTCAGTGGAATAAGTGCTTCCCTGGCAAGCTCAAGGGCCTGAGTTCAATCCCTGGTTCCGCCAAAAATAAATAAATAAATAAATACCCGAGTCATATATATATATATAGACAAAAATCAGAATGGCAAACAGGTACCATGCAAGGTGGGGGATGTAGGGGTTGAAGTGCGGGGAGGGATGAAGTGGCCCTTGCTGATCTTGGGGAACAAGGATTTTACACCTCTGTAGCAATGAGGTAGAGATGAGGGAGGCCCGGGGCCCTTGCCCACAAGATGTTACATGAAAATACCCGAATAAAACTGTCCCCACATCTTCCATGAAAATGCAAACGTGGGCGGGGAGAATCATTGCTTTGCAAAGGGCACTGTCAGCGATGTTGTCTGTCTCTTTTCTGGCTCTGTTGAAATATAAAAAAGAATTCTCTCTTGAGAAATGATAAGTCTAGACCTTCCCTAACACAAGTTGGAAGTGTGAATTTGTGTTTCCCGCATGGTCTCAGAGCTCCTGAAGCTTGAAATTAATAAAAGAAAACATCCTGAGTGGATGGCACCATGGGACATGCGGCAGCAGCAAATACAAGCTCACGGGAGGCCGCTGGCACTCCAGAGCCACCCGGAGGCGCATGATGCGCCCATACTGACACCACAGAATGGAGACGCAAGCCACAAGCCGCAGGAAAATGGCATATATAGGGCTCTGCATCCAGCATACCATTTGCACACGTGCACTGAGGAAAAATGATCGTGTATATGATAGTGCAAACAACAGCAAACCTTGACAACTTTCAAGAAATTGACGCCAGAGTTCATGTACAATTAGGTGAAAAATCAATAGCAAAAAGTAATTCAACAACGTCATCTTGGTGTAAGGACAGACACATGGACCAACGGAATGAAACAGAGAGGCCAGACGTGGACCTTCCCATATACGTGGTCCAATGGCTTTTGCCAAGAATTGCACACGCTGTCTTTAACAAATGGCGTTGAGACAATTGGAAATCTAAATGCAAAAGAACTAAGTTAATATCCTTTCTAAGCACCATATACAGTAGGTCATTCCTCAGGGCCCAAGGGGACTAATTCAACCCCCCTCCCATGTACACCAGCACCCACGGATGTTCAAGCCTCCTGTGTGAAATGGCACAATATTTGCATATAACCCATTACATGCTCCTAAATACTTGAGATCACCTCTAGGTTACTTAGGATGTCTGATACAATGTCAAATACACACGATACTATTATATACTGTGTTGTTTAGAAACTAATCATAAGGGGGACATTTGCACATGTTCAGTACAAATGCTCTTCATCCCTCCCCCTCTCCTTCCCTTTCTTCCTTCCTTTTTTCCTTCCTTCCTTCTTTTCTTGTTCAGTATTTTTGATCAGTGATTGGCTGAATCCGTGGATGTGCAACCTGCAGATATGGAGAGTATGGACGACTATGTGACACTGAATTCAAAATGGGTTAAAGTCCTAAATGGAAGGCCTGAAACTATGCAACTTAGAATAAAATAGAAGCCAAAGGCTCCATGACATTGAATTTGGCAATGATTTCTTAGATGCGACATTGAACCAGTCAGTGCTTCCTAGAGAAACATTGAACGCAAGATATACAAACATATATAAGAATTTATAGGGCTGGGAGATAGCTTGGTGGCATAACTACTTGCTTGGCAAGTGCGAGGTCCCCAGTTCTATTCCTGGTATCGCCTGCCATGCTGGCCTTGGACCCCAGGGGGGCCATGCCAGCCTGGAAGCCAGGTGTGGTGGCACGGGCCTGTAATCCCAGCACTGGGGAGGCTGAGACAAGAGGATCACTACAAGTCTGAGCTGCACAGCAAGACCCTTTATCAAATGAATAAATAAAAAAGAATTTATAAGACTGGCTCACAGTGGCCGCCCACAGAATCTGAGGTGGAAGAGTGCAGAGCGTGTGACTTCACCCTGGAAGTCCAGAGGATCCAGCTGAGGGAGTAGCGTCCCTCAGAACTCCAAATCAGGAGGCCGACGGGTCTGCTGGAAGCCGGAGACGATGTCCTGGCGAAGGTGAAGGCCGGAGCTCCTCCAGACAGATAGAAGCCAGTCTTCCTTCTTTGCCTCCCTGTCACATCATCCTGGCGACAATCCTCCCTAGGGTGGGTCTTCCACAGACAGAACTATGCTGAGCCAGTGTAGTTGGGTGTGTCTCCTGCTAGTTGACACCATCAGTTAACTGTCACAAACACCAAAGGCACAAACAACAAAAACAAAACAGACAAACTGGGCTGCATGGAAATTTTTAAATTTTGCATCCAATTTTGTACCCAAAGCACTCCCCACTGTGAATGGCAACACAGAAGGGGAAAAGATGCTTCCAAATCACACAGCGGATCAGGGATTCATATCCAAAATACAAAGAAAATCTATAAAAGACCACAAGGAAAAAGATAACAGTGACTTCACACATGGCTGAGAACTCTCACTGCTGGGCACGGGCACAGGCTTCTGAGGACAATGGGCTCTCAGGCTGCGTGGGACAGTGCATAATGGGGAAGAAACACGCAGGAGGTGCTCAGCCCATCTGAGGCAACTGGATGGAACTGCACCGCTACGACCTCTCCAGGTGGCATGTGGCCTTCATTAGAGCCACACGCACCAAAGCATTTTCTGCCATCTCCAAAGGCTTTGAGTG